TTTCTTTCTTTGTTTTTTTTTTTTTTAGGATTGTATTAGTTCCTTTAAAATTAAGATATAAGAAAAACATCTCATTTGTTTCTTGACAATCTGCACTCATTTCCAACAATCAGAAAAAAAAATTCTCAAATCTGCCTAATTTCTACTATGTAAACACACTCGCACACATCTTTATCAACCCAAGAACAACAAAAATGCCCAGAAAACGTATTTATTAATTTATATGCTGATAAGAATGTTTATTTTTAAAAGAATTGGCCATAATAGCCAATAACATCTGTTCCAATGAATTATTTGCTATGTGTAAATAAACCTTTCTATTGGAAATCAGTGTATCTAATCTACACTGATACATTGCTATTTACAAGTTGCCCAATACATAATGGGAAAAATTTACTGGGAATATAGATTTGTAGGTATAAAAATGATAAGCATTTTCAAAGGAAAATGAGCATCCTATACATAGATACGTAGTATGAAATACATATGTATGAAATATTTCATGAGTTAGTCTGAGGTCAAAGCTTAATTTAAGCAAATGTAATTAAATTATAAGAATGATTTCATCCTATCTCATACTATGGAACTTGGATAAGTTGAACACAGTACCCAAAACTGACAAAAGAACATCAATGACTATATACTGGCTTACCCCAAATTATCTCTGTTTCTCTCTCTCTCTCACTCACACACACACACAAACACAATAACATACACAACACAGACATTGAAATAAACTTCCCCTTTCTGTAAGACAGGCGTTAGGTTGAGCAAGCTATTTTTAAAAAAACAACCATATACATCAAGGACACTATAGTTTTGGCTTCTTCAGTAGGTTAAATTTAAATTTTCTCTCTTCCATGTACTGTTATAAAACAAGTAGTCATATCTATATAAAGTACGTTGGTAAAAATCGTAAGGTTGAATGGGTTTAATTTTTCAGGATTTAATTGTCCACAGAAAGTAGAAAGCAATAGTAATCTATGGTCTGATTCTCAAAAACAGATGAAGAATTACCTACACAAAGCATCACATTTAATGTCATGCACCAAAATTAGCTTTGCCAAATAGACACTAATTCCCTGACACACTTCTTGTCTGAGGGTTAGCATCTCATAATATGTAAATAACTGTATGTTCCCTAAGTGAAAAATGCTCTAAAGCAAAAACTAAATGAAAATACCCGTGGAATTTAAATTTTTAATTTCTGGGGGAAAATGATATTTTAAAAATATAAATAAAATATGTGCGATGTGGAGTCAGTCTGGTAACCCAATAATCTAATTCTGCACCTACAAGTGCTGACATGCCTTACCAGTGCAGCACAGTTCTTGAACCAACTGCTCCACTTCCGATCCAGCTCTGTTCATGACCTAGAAAAGCAGTGGAAGATGGCCCAAGCCCTGGGACCCTACAACTATATGGGAGACCAGAAGCTCCTAGATCCTAGTTTCAGATCAGTCATCTCAGTCCCAGCTGTTGAGGCTATTTAGGGAAGGAATCAACAGACAAAGATCATTTTCCTTCCTCCCTTTCCAATAAAAAAATAAATATTTATAAGATATATGTGGCACATAAGTCATAGTACAGATTTTGTCATGTATCATGCCAAGTAATTATTTGTTTTTATTTTTGCATAAAAACATGTCGTATTTAAGTTACTATAGAGCCTTTTAAATGAAATCTACAGAAACATTGATGATGGTTAAATGTCTTATGATTGGTACAGATTATTCTGGGTAAAAGTATTATGAGACTACTATGGTTGATTTCATAAAGAAGGCTGTTTACTGTGCTTCTGAGAGATGAATAGGAACATTGAAGGTTTCATTCATTCAAAAGTAGTCAACAGAAACATGTAAGACATGTGGAAACTGGTACAAGAAATTGGCAAAGCAGAAAGTAAAAGCACAGTACGTGTAACTGTTTAAGGAGACACAAGAAGGGCACAAACAAGGGAGAGGAAGCAAACAGCGCAAGTGCAGAAGAAGCATTCTAGAGAACAGGAACCCGAAGCAAGATAACGACTTCCTAAAACCAAAATGTAAACATGCCAAAAAATGCTGAGGAGTATACAGAAAGCTGATTCACCAAAGTACTGGAATGACCCCAACTGCGTAATTTCATCATGTAATCTTTGTACAAGCACAATTACAGGTAAGTATGTGCATGGCATGGGACATTAATATTGGAATTAACGCTGTCAAATAAAGATCCCACAGATGATGAGAAGTTCATATAAGTTCAGATGTTCTTAACATTCACATATTCGGTCAAACATGGGAAATGGAAAGACAGCAAGAAACAGACGGCCCAGATTTATCAAGTTGTCAGAAAGGAAAAGGTTATATTCTGACAACTATTGATGACATAAAATTGCAATCGACAAATATTAAATATTTTGAAGGGACACTAGCAAGAAACACAGCAGCAAGGGAACAAGCGTACTTGACTGCTATAACCAATTTTGTGTGGTTGGTTTAACTGTATGGATAGACATACAAGTATATTAAATTCAGCAAGAACTTTCACAAACATTAATATCCCTGTGAATACTGTGGTTTACTGAGGTTGTTCTTGGGTAGGGTTCCTGCCTTTCTGAGAGGAACACTGACTAACTATGGAGTGTTACCTGTAGGGGAAGGTCTCTCACGGTTTGCCACACTGAGGTGGTAAAGTAGTTTAAAGTAAGTTTAAAAAGTTTGCAGGTGACAAAATGTTGGAAGTGGTAAAGCTAAAAAGGACAGATATGATATGTTCCATTTCTGATGCAGCTCCTGACTCAAGGCCTAGGAAAAGCATCAAGAGACAAAGTGTTTACGTTGCTGCCGCCCACATGGGAAACCCAGTGAAGCTCCGACCGACTCCTGCTTCAGTGCTGGCATTGTGGCTTACTTGGAGACTGAACCAGCGGGTGGAAGATTGCTTGCTCGCTCACACAGGCTCTCTCTCTCTCTTATCTCTCATTGTCTTTCAAAATAAATAATAACTAAATCCTTAAAAATAAAATTAACATACTGCATCAGAAACACACAATATTATACTATATATTTCATGAAATTATCAATTCAATGAACCAACAACTGATGTTTAATAAACTTAAAGTCTTGCATTTAAGTAAAAACAGGCCAAAAGTAAACAAATAATTCATATAGGTGTAAAGCAGAAAAAGTGAGATTTCAGTCAGCTTCACAAAAAATCCTTGAAATATCAAGTTTTGTCTTAAGTTTCTCTCCAAATGCATTTGCAGTCAAAACCTACACAGGACTAGTTTAGCAAAATAATTCAATAATGTGTTAGGGGATTCTTCATTACATAATATATATCACCTTCCTAAAATGAAATTCTGAATTTTGAAAAAAAATCTGACCTTAACAGATAGAAAAGCAAGGCTCTGGAATTATCTTACAAGAAAGTATGACTAAGTTGCTTCTCAAAAAACAGCAAAGGAAATCTTGGTCAACATACGAAGGTGGAAGTATATTTATGAATTACATAAAAGTTAACCTAATTTACTGAGGCATATGTGGAATAATCTAGCACTGTAATTAAGAAAGATGCTAAACATATCTGCCCCATACATTAGGAAATAAATCGCTGAACAAATGCTAATAAAGCACCATTTACAAAACCAAGTATGTCCATGAATCTAACTTCAAAGATTTCTTCTTTTCTATTTTCAACCAACCTTTCTGGTTTTAATCTCTAAACCCTCGATTTTAATCTCTAATCACCTCAGATTCTGTACCTGGCTGCCTCGATGTCTTTGCTCATGACAGCTCTATAGAAACACTCATTTGGCTTACTTCAACCTACTGCAAACCCACCTATTTTTTCAAAGATGGAAGGACTGTATTTTTAACAGGCTTTCTTTAATCCCTCCATGGTGAGTTCACCTCTTCCTCTGCCCACTGGCAACTTCTCAGATCACACTACAGATTATTGCTCTTTGTGTTCAAATTTTAGATGGAAAGACAAAGATTACAGTTCTGGCCAACGCTTCCATAGTACCTGACATCATGATTTGTTGCAAAATTTAGAATTCAAGTACTGAACGGAATCAAAATTAGTAGGAATGATAAAAGACCAAACACTGAATTTTAATAATAAAGAAATATACAAAGCATGAGCAAGAACATAGTGACTGCTTTTGCTGCCTATATATCCTTCATGACTACTAGCCCAGTACCCAGAACTTAATAAAGTGAAAATGATTGAACAAGTTGGTGAGTGTCTACCTTCGGGGAAAGAAAACTAATTTTAAAATACACGAGGTAAAAGTGCAGCATGCTAGGAGAAAGAGTTGTCATATATTGTTTGCAAACAACACCACATTAAACCTGAACTTAAATAGAACAAATTTCATTTTATTAGAATGTTCTACTAAGAACCACAGCAATCTGAAGACAAAACAGACTTCTTTATAAATTAAATAGTTCTCACTTCCAGTAATCCTAACAAATGGCAAATGATCTGCTGGAGAAACTACAGAAATACTATTTTAAGTCAAATTTCCTACACAGCTAAAGTCAGGACATTTTTTCTTTCAGTTATCCCCACTTAACAGAAGTGAACTGTTAAGACTTGTGGCCAGTGGCACTCAGGTTCTCAAGTGTCCTCGCTGAATCCCACTGCTACTGAACACTACAGCAAACCTGTAGCAATAAGCCTCCCTCCCCTGGACCGTTAGAACTCGGTGCATCTGACTAAAAAGATGTATGTGCTTATTAAAGCATGGATAAAAATGCCCGTCTGTCTTAGGACACACTTGAACATAGAGGGACATGAAACTGTGGCTTCAAGATCACAGTATAAAACAGATAATGGGAAAAAATAAATAATGATTAATCAGGCACTCTATGGACTAAGAATTAAGACTAGAGAATAATAATTCTTTATCTAATAAGGGCTTTATAAAATTATCTTTGACCAAGGTTTTCATTTCTTACGTAGTATGACACAAGCAGTCAACTCTTTCTTAACCGGGGAAATGTACAAACCTCATCTCCTTCCTGAGGTCGCATCAGGGAAACACGATCGTATTGTCGCCGCAGCAAGGCCCACAGTGCATCAAGACGACCCTAGAGGGAAAAACAAAACTGTAAATTCAGGGGAACGTTCAACCTCTACTTACAGAATCAACAAAGAGGGGAAAAAAAAAGGTTAAGTGTCATTGGTACAATTTTATTCACAAACAATAAATAAATAAAAAATAAACAAAAAAATTTGAGTGGCTCTCAGCATTGAGAAAGTACTCTTTTGCTAGAGTACAAATGTTTGCTCTCCCTGGAATGGGAGGATTATAAATAGTCACTGTTGCTTTAGGAGCTGTAAATTACACACGTTGAACAAATACCTTAATTGGCGTGTACCACTTTGTTTGTGGAGGCTGGTAGGTGGGTTTGGGCCTGGGTGGTCTAGGCCTGATGGGTTCCTCTGACTCTTCAGGAAGTGTCACCACAGCATTTTTGGCTTTCTCGAGCCTCGCACCTTCCTCAGTAGATCCTTTATCACCCCAACGCACCTTTAAAACAAAAACAGCAACGTTGATGTCAAACCCAAGCATCCTAGAGGAACAAGCTCCTGCTGGGGAGATGGTTGGTTCACCATCTCAGAGTCATTTGCATAGGTATACCAACTGCCAGATCTTGTTCTGAGAATATTTAGCAGGTTTATCAACTATTCTCGTTACATTTAATAATAACAGCCTGGGAGTGGTGCTGTGGCACAACAAGTTAAACTTTTATCTGCATCACTATCATCCTGTGTGAATGCTGAGTTGAGTTCTCAATTATTCCACTTCCAATCAAGCTCCCTTCTAATGTGTCTGGGAAAGCAGTAGAAGATGGTGCAAGTACCTGGGCCCCAGCCCCCATGCTGAAAACCCAGACGGAGCTCCCAGCTTTGGCCTGGCACAGCTGGAGAAGACACCAGCAGATGGAAAATGTCAGCCACACCCATGTCCTATCTCTCTAATGCTGCTTATCAGATAAACCTTTATTAAAAATCAGTTTGAGTCTAGAAAGAAAATCCTTTGAAACAATCTGGAGTCAATGAAGCAATCACCTCTCCAAAGTTTCAAACCAGGTGTCTATCTGTGGTTTACATAGGCAAAAGCTGACAGCATGCAATTTTCTTATCTACTAGTGGGTAATTCCCCTTGCTAGTTATAATACCTAATTGCATTTACTAATAATTTAGGAGAATAGCTTTAATCACAATGTCTAAAGTTTTTATTAATTTACTTGCATCTATTGTAAAGGCAGAGAAAGGAAGACAGAAAGAGAGCCACGAAAGATGGGCATTCCATTTACTCATGATGTTCCCAACAACCAGGGTTGGGTCAGGTAGAAGCCAAGAAGTCTGAACTCTGTCTAAATCACACAAATGAAGGGCAGAGCTGCCGTTGGCGACCTCCCAAAAGAAACTGGTCAGAAACTGGGTTGGAAGTAGAGCAACAGGGCTTCAGTTTCTGTATGGGGTGCAGTCACTGCAAGTAGTGGGTTAACCTGTTGCACCACAAGTCCACTCCACATAATTAGTACTGATTGAGTGATGACTGTGTATCAGTCTGATTTAATCCATACAAAATGGCAGTTATATAAATACCATGGCTTTTCTTCCCTTTCCACTTCCTTGTGTTCATTTGCGGATATGGCTAATTTGACTGAGGAACCGTGACTATTTTATCACTGAGAAAGATAAATTGAAAAAGAGAAAATTCAGGAAAATTCAGGGAATTGTACATGGAATTTCCTTCTCAGAACTCTCTGGACGTTGAACAACCACAGGATCAACTTATTATTTTTTGTGTTTTTAATGAACGGAAATTAAGATCTAAATCCAGGCCAAATTATGCAAGGGAATGTTCCCCTGGATTACGGCTCTGCACACCAGGAAGACCATGGGAAGTCTACAGAAGCCAAGGACACTGCCAAGGAGGACAGACAAGTCAAGTGATGCTCCAAAAAATACAAGGTCCTATTAAGGGAGAACTCCAACACACCACAGTTCAGTAATTTCCAAAGGAAAAAAACTTTAAAGACTTGTTTAAAGCATTTTAATGATCTGAATTAGTGGGTAGGGAAAGAGATGATTACATGATTACAGTTCATTGAAAGAACTATTCACAGCTTTTTGATAAGGCTTACTTAGATGTTTCTACCCATTTTTTTACTACAATTTTAGAATGGGCTTTCAATTTCAAGTAGACCCTGTTGAGTCATTAAAATGTATCTGTATCTTTCAGCATGATCAATGGTACTAGAACGTTCTTTATGAGGTTGTTAAAATTGTTTTAAACACCATTAAACCTTTAGAGCTGGATAGCTGGCTTTCTTTCCAGAGAAATGACCTTTCCTTTACCAGATAAAGAAACACCAAATCTTTAGGAATAGCTAAATGGATTGAAAACTCTAAAACCAAGATGCATATATTTGCAGTGCTAAAGTTCTGATTTTACTGGAAAAAGCAACAACAACAGAAATGAAATACAAAATTAAGTACACATATGAATTTCATAACTCGGAGAAGAAATTCAGAATACAAATGCAAACAAATATAGAGCCTTTTAAAAGTTCATGTAGGCAAGGAGGTGGTTGGCAAAGTTGTTCACCTTGGCCTGCAGCCAGCCTGCGTTACAGCCTCCCCTGTACAACTCAAACCCTCCCAAATGCCCCCTCTCCAGGAAAAAGAAATCAGTTTTCATGAAGCTGTGCTGGCCAAAATTAGCCAATGATAGCACAACACAGCCAACCTGATGGCTTGCTTTGTCCCCACAATGGCCTTTAGTTCACTGTAATGTTACTATAACAAAATTACCATGGCTGATATTCCTATATATATACATATATATATATATCATACACCTGACACCATGACACTTTGAAACTATCCAGAAAAGGGCAAAGAAATAAATGGTACTCAAAGCCAGTTCCAACTTCCTCCCATTATAAATATTCAATTAAACTCTGTCCCAAACATTGATTCTTTTAGACTCCAATAATGCTTAGACTCAAAACTCACTGAGTGCTCATTCTATGGTTTTTGCTAACTCTCTTCAGTGTGTACTTTCAATTTCCATGCAAACAAATCTTGTTTCTTTGCTGATATTTACCTATATCTCATCCTAGAATTCTTTCTTGCATCAGAGACAATCACATAAATCCAGCTACCCGATGACAAAGACACAGATTCTAATACACATGGATCCTGATTCTACCTACCACACTTGACACCACAGGCGAATGTGGTTACATTCCTCTAGTGTTTCACCAGCATCATCTCAGATAAGGAATATCAGGCTAGTTGAACTAGACTTCTGGCCAAGTGTGGAACTGCCAAGGCCTCTGTCCCGAAGGGTCTGTACTTATGAAACGCAGTTGCTGAGACTGAAAGGAGATGAACTAAATACAATCAAGCACTTTGATTCAGCACATAGGCATCCTATGTGCCTCTTGAACACTGTGACACACACCTGCTACGGGGGTGTTTTTCCAAAGAGAAGCATCTTCCTGGCTTGAACGGCCATACTTTCAAAGCAGGTGGTTTTCTAGTTTCCCTCTCCAAATTTTAAGTTGCTATTGAACAGAATGTAATAACGCTTAATTCTCATTTCAGTTATTGTACATCAATATGTATTGAATTTCTCTTTGCAATGTACTCATTCTCTTTCTCATCTTTTTTTCCATTTTATTCTCAGCCCTATTTCTATGCCATTGACAGGTTAATCCACACAATACCGCCAAAATTATCCAAAGCTAAAATGGACTCATACCTCTTGGACTCATTTAAAGTTAACCAAGTTCTTTTACAAAGTTTCCTCATTGAAATAGATGTGTGGGGGATACAATATCTCATATTAAGAGTCAACAACTCTTGCAATTTGAATTGTGGGGACTCAGGAATGTGCACATGTGAATTCATCTGAGCATAAATCAATGAGGGAGACTAAATATACTAAAAACGAACTGTGACATATCATATCTGGATATTCATAAGTGACAGCTGCATTTACACACAGGGACAGTCAGCCTCCTCTCCTATCACTCTTTCCAGTGTGAACTCCTCATCTTCTCTTGAACTGAGCAGATTCCCAGCTGCCCACGTGCAGAGACACCTGCAATGTGCCTCCAAAAGATGTACAGCTTCTAGCATCTGCTTTTATGCAGGGCTCATGTGCAATGGAGTAGCAAGCTCTCAGACAAAAATATGCACTTTGCTAAGATCTAGTGAGGTTGAGAGAGAATCACAGTCAGATTCCTAGAGTAAACACTTGGGTGATAACAACCCCGATAAGGATGCTGGGGCCTCTTCTGGAGAAGACTGCAATTTATTCAGAAAAGGGGACACTCTCCTTGGGTATCTGGATTTTATCCCAATGTCTAAAAAAATGAAATTGCAACATTTGCATCTTTAATCAATTTCCTGTGTTTTTTCTGACAGCAAAGAGATATTTAGCTATGACAATCAGAGATCTATAATGATGACAAAACATAAATATAAGCCTTTCTTCCAAGAAGTAAAAAATTCAAGGATAACTAATAGGGAGGAGACGCCAGGACCTTTGTCACAAGAGTCGATGTATGGATGAGAAAAATGTTCGAACTGCTCCAGGGATAAGATACAGGCCTGTCAACACTGTTGTTCAGTGCTCAGAACTGGCAATAATGGGTTGTTAATAACGAATCCACCGTTTGAAAACTATTTGTGGTGCCAAGAACACTTCATTTGACTTTTAAGATGAAATATTAAAATTCAATTTCCCTTCACACTTTAGGCCATTATGAAAGTTCAATGCATTCTATAACTGACATGTAATATTAATTATGATAATTCATAAATGGTAACTAAAGGTTATTATAAAGACTTAAATATGTTTCCTCTATATTTGTGATAAGGTCATATCCATGCTATTACGTATTTTGAAATTTTCTCTTCAAATAGTACATAACTACTGGATCATTTCAAAGAAGAACACTGTTGCAAATTTAAGCGGCTGACTTGTTCAAAAATGTCGCACTATGTAGTAATTTTTTCCAAAATAGTGAGAAAAATTCTGGCTTTGTTTCATGCTTTAAAATTCAGAGGGCTTATCAATGCAATGCCTTGACAAATAAAACCAGTCCCTTTGGCTGGTTCTGCAATGGCTTAGGATTATTCTCCCCACCCACCCACTTTATCCCCTAAAAAAAGAACTATCCAGAAAAGACCCAGTATTGTGTCAAAATGAATGATGACAGGAAACTCAATTGTGAAAAGTGCAGTTTCCCTGATTTAATAGTCCCAGAAACACACATTCCAGATTAGCAGCTTTTTCAGATACCAACCTCCATCCTTTTAATTCCTCCGACTCCCCGACCACCATAATAGGAGGCATCGACCGTAGGCCATTTCTTGGTAGGCAGAGGGTCTTGTTCCTCCTGCAGAAGTAAAAGTTTTATGATTTCATCATCTTACTAAAATAACAGCAAAACTGGGCCTTATTTGAATATTTTCTGAAAACTGTCATTGTTGAGGAAGAAATGATGCATGGGACTTGAGAATGCATTTGTGCTCAAAGCTACGAATGTTAACTGGAGTTATACAAGGCAGAAGGAGTCCTTCCTTTTCCTTCCAATTTGTGGGTGACTAGGAGTTGCGCTTGACACACACACAAAACAACAGTGTTTATTCCAAATCTGGTCATCACCATACAACAAAGACAAAACAGTAAAGTTAGGTTGGCATCTCAAGAATGATCCCAGCATCAGTGTGTGTTTGAACTCCGTGAAACACCAACTAAGCAGGAAAGGCAGTGCCGAAGCTCGGAACGCACAGAGTACCGGATAGCCCTTACGTGCAGGCTGCTAACAATTTTGTTTAACACAGTCATACGTAAAAGCAATCTTTTTGAGGAAAGTAGAAATAATCTGAAACTGACAGCTCGGCATAAGCACACTTGCTAACATAACTACAAAAATTATGTGAAATCTCTATGCAGTGTTGACCCCAGGGCCATTTTATATTTACCAAGGTATGAAGGTCCCACTCACCTAGCATATGAAAGAAATCACACAAAGATGAAAAATAACTCATTTTATAAATTAAGGACCCAATACATGGTTATGCTTATGTAACAAACAGAACTGGTTGAATTTGGAGATGCTACATATCTACATTAGGGAGCGGGGCATGCATTTTCCTCTATTAGACATTCATTTACCTCTTTTGGTGCAGGTGGTGGTGGTGGAGGAGGGTCCTTGATAACCTGTTCAAATAAATAAATAACAGGATTATGAAATGTGCAGACTTTCATGAGAGAAGACAGTAAGAATGTATGAAAACACTAAAACATATGAAATACTGTGCTGGCTCCCAAAATGGTTGAGATAATCAGGTACATCTCCCCATCTCTATGCCAAGAGGAAAAAACTGAAAACATAATTGCTTCAATTTACTTAATGTGAATGTGAAACTTTTCAGCTATGTGATTTCAAACATTTAAATAATGATAACTGAAAATGAAGTTGTTTCTACTGTATCAAAGAATTATTACCAATGTTTAATGTACTACTACTACAATGGATATGTTATTTAAAAAACAGCTTAACTATTAAAAGTTCAAACAAAAAATTCTAAGTGAAATAATATGATTTGGATATTTTCATCAAAATAATTTGAGGTGGAGTAAGTGGACAAGGTTAGAGATGAAATAAAATTAAATATTGGTCGAGAGTCACGGGAGATGGATGATCATTGAGGGGATACATGATATCATTCTTTCTGTGTTTAAAACATTCCAAAGTGAAAGACTTTAAATTCCAATAGTATTGCTAGCATTTAAATAATGAACCAATAATTTCCTATAGGTTTAACATTTCCATTTTCCACATTTTAGCTTAGATCTAAACTTCAAGAAATAAAAGCACACAGTAGTTACAACAGATACACCCGAGGCATGCAACAAAGAGAACAAGGGCAGAGTGGGTGAGGAGGAACGCTTGACTGGCTGCAATAAAGAGAAATTCACAAAGCAATTCATTCCCCTGGCAAGGGACCCACAGCACTTGAAAATTTCCCTCAGATGAGGCCAAAGCTTCCTTCTCTGTACTGCCCACTTTTTATTCCTAATCCTAGAGATTGGAAACACACACACACACACACACACACACACACACACACACACACACAGACACACACCCACACACACACACAATTCATCTTCCAGAAGAGAATAAATACTAGTTTTGATGCTATGATAATTATCATAGATTATCAAGTCTACCCATTGGAAGCTAAATACATCAACAATTACGGGATGGTTCTAAGTTATTATGTCATCTTGGTCAGTTTAATGGTTTATACAATTCATTTGGTCATTATTTCAAAATCTGGTTTCCAGAACTGAAAACATTTTAAGTAAGTATGCTTGATTCATTTTAAAGAAATGAGTGGTGCTCAAACAAAACAGATGTACTTCCTTCACTATTTACCTCCAATTCTAAACATTTTAAGTGGTAAAATATGAGTAAAATTACTTTGAAGTATATAATTACCAGAGACCCTTTCTTGCATCAATGGCCACATGTGTCACTTAGTTCAGCCAGCTTGTTTCTCTATCTTTACCGTGTGCCTAATACTAACCTGGGTAGACAGATCAATGATCCTCTAATAGATGCTCAGTACAACATTTCCCTGATCAAATGAACAGTCCCAATACCCATAATTCAAATCAATGAGTTATGAAATTTTATTCAAACAGCCTCCACCATCAGTTTCGTAAATTCCCACACAGTACTCTCTGGAGTTCTGTCACCAAGAAAAAGACTCAAACTTCTTCTGTTCTGCTGAGTATAATAAATCTGAACTTATTTAATTGCACTGTGAGGATTTCAAATTTACTCCACCTACTAACTATACACGTCGCACTCATATGTAAACTTCAGGGGACATAAACGTTTTCCTAACTTCTTTTCCAATTCTCTGCCATAACTCTTCCTCTTCTATCTCATTATTGTTATCCTGTATAACATCCAGCTTAGTAATGCTATGGAAAAAGTGAAGTTTCAATTTTAAATCCTCACATGACCACTATGAAACTCACAAGAGGATCCCAAGAGGCATCTCTGTATTCTTCCTCAATACAGGAGCCCCCTTTGCAGTAAAGCTACACGAACTGGCTCCCCCACTCTCATGGTTTAAAAGCCTCACTGTGGTGTAACACACAGTTCCTCTGAAGTTCAACAATGACATCCTATTGATAAGCAGGCCTCCATACCCACATTTACGCGTACTGCATACATCTCTGCTTCTCCCAAATATAACCACCGTTTTTAGCTTCCATCCGCCTTCCATCTACCATTTTTCTATTACCTCATCCACAAGGTGAAAGACCTCTAAAATAACACGTATTTGTTCCTGGATGAAGCATTCAAGAGTCATCATTACCTTGGATTTACAAGTTGATTGTGGGATTTTTTTAGTCACCCCTGAGAAGTATAGTTTCCCAAAGGATAATAATCATTTGTCCCTATAAATGCCATCAGGGCCTAATAAAGAACTCCACAAACATAAATACTAAAAACACAATCAAAGTGAAGACAAGGAAACAAGTAGGTCCACAAAGGATCACAGATCTTCAAGTCAATAACTGAAACTTGGGGGAACATAGTAATACAAATGACAGAGATAAATTTCCAAGAAACTAAAATATTTCTAGTTCTAAGGAAAACCAAGCATCAAATTTCTCTCTCGATCAATAAAGAACTAATGAACTCAATGGTAGATGGTAAGTCATAAGATCATCCAAGTTTCTTCATTTTGAAAATAAATTGAATTAATTTAGGTCATTTCCAACATGAAAAGTTTAATAAAATGATAAAAATACTTTCTACAATATTTTTCACCAAATCTTTGCTTCTATGCTTTTCCACAATTATGACCATATGCCTGGTTGCCCTTGTTATTAACTGTATTCCAGAAAAAGAACATTAGAATGTTCCTATATGTGCAAGTAATCTTATAGATGACTACATGCATGACTTCTAAGTATGACTTCTAAGTTTAAAGTGATTTTGAAGACCCAGCAAGTATATTTTCTGCATTGTTAGCAATGAAAACTGGGCCTTCACTTAGTTTTACCTAAATCAAACTTTGATCTAGTAAATTAAAGATGCAACCACATCACAACACACTTGTCCATTGCTTCAAAGGGAAGGCTCGTTGAGGTTATATTAACTACAGCCATCCTTCCTTGAGTTTCCATACACCATTTATTTTACATTACTCTTAACTCCATAATAACCCTGTACAATTAACCTCGTTTTAAACATAAGTAAATGGAAGTTCTAGCTTTAGTAACTTGTCCAAATACAAAGAGAAATCAAAGTCTATATTTAAATCCATCACTCGGGTCATATACCTCCAAACTCTGTGTTTAACTTGTGCTACATAACATTCACTGGGTATAAAATTAGGACTGCAAGGTGAATGTGTGCAGAAGAAAAGGCCCGAGTTCTGTGGAGGAACTATTACTAGGATGGAGGAACACCTAGATGCCTAATACTTAGCTTATTATACAGCTTATGATAACTGTACAAAATAGTTCATTCTTATTTTGCAGAGATACAGAATGTAACCCATATGCTCTATATCCGCTAACTAGAAAAGTTGAGGCAGGAAATAAAATGGCTTACCTATTAAAATTTTAAATATTGACCATAATAATAATATAAGGAAACTTAGTGGCGGGGGAGGAAATTGGGAAAGGGATAAGGGAAATCCCAGGACCTATGGAACTGTATCATAAAATGATAACAAAAAGTTCATGCGAAAAAAAATAAATTAAAACAAATCTTTTAAAAGGGGAAAAATAGACTCTCTACACTGTACAAGATGGCTTCATAAGCAACAAAGGGGGAACAAAACTATTTGAAAGACAAGTCGTAAATGATAAATATCTGATAACCCATTCAGAACAAAAGGAAAATTTGCTGTTAGTCCAAACACATTAAAAATACCAGTCATGAGGCTCCTACTCTAGGATTAAATAGTGCAAGAACACATTTCGGAGGAGGATGTATTCATCTGCACCATATTTTATGAGAATTTGCAGATTTTAAAAGGCATAATATTGCCTAGTTGCCAGGATTTTTTCCACTTAGCATCCTTCAGTTCTGTATTGAGGATTCTGGAAAACACTTTCACCACTTTATGAACCATATGCAGAGTTTGATTCTTCTCCAATTTTTTTTCATTTGTTATTATCATCATGAGGGAAGATTACATCTCATCTACTTAGATGCTAGAATGAAGATTTCAGCTTGGAGGAAAGCCGATTTCTTTAGAAAAAAAAAAGTTAGCTGCTTCAGGCAACAGTCCTTTTGATCTGCTCATTAACACTTTTCAAATGTTCGAGTGATGTGGGCATTCTTTGCACTAGAAAATGTCAGCACTGCAGCCTGCAGCCAGCTTGATGCGATCATATGTTCCGATATTCAGAAAAGACTGAAAAGAACTGTCAACATTGAACTGCCTTGGATTAAGAAAAAAAAAATACTGTACAACGACTGTAAATCAAGTAGTATTTCATAACTGACTCCTGCTGGTGACAAAATAAATACCCACTTCGTCAACAATGCCATCTCAGTGCCTAAGGGACCACAGACAATAGAGCAAGCACTCGGAGTGTTTACGACAATTTGCTAAGGACACGCAAAGATCTTCCTTTCACTCTCCAGCTTCTTCTCGATAAGATCAGAAAGCAAGCACAGTGTCTTTCTTCTCAAGTGCACAAAGCTCCCTTACATTCAAACTGCAGAAGTCCCTTCCTGAATCCCGCAAACTTAGTTGCTCTCATTATCTGACCCAAAGCAGGGTCAGATTAATCTTACCTGACTCCTTTCCTCTCTGAAAAAATGCATCAGTGTTCAAAGAGTCTTAATTCTTACAAACAGATAAATGGCCAGAAATCCAGACAAAAATATAACTTTAAATGCCGAATGGTGACTCACAGAAACGGTGTGAGAGTGTATTCTGCCAGGATTTAAGTAAAGGTATTTCTGTCAAAGCAAATAAACTAAGACCAGGAAAAACTTGATATCCTGTTTCATAAATGATGCTCTGTTGGAAAACATCACCATGGAAGCAGTAAGACCTAGCCTCACATTCTTTCAAGAAGGCAACCAAACATAAATCATTTTAATTAAGGGTGCAAGAAAGGCATATTAAAATTTAAATTACTTCTGTTTTATTGTGTATTCAAAAAAA